TGGGTTACAGCAGTAAAAATACATGGAATACAATAAAATTCAAAATTATTCCCTTCCGAACCCCTCCTTCAGCCCTTCAGCAGCCAAGAAAGAAGGGAGTTTATCAAAAAGAATATATGAAACAAAGAAGTCCAGGCAAAGTCCAGGCATGAAAGCAGCCAGAAATCATCCAGATGCATCTCCAAGGCCAGTCTCGGGGAAGGGGGGAACTGCACCCAGGAACTGTCTAGCTATGCCTTCATACCCCAGGGTCAAGGTGCTGGAAGGAGATACTGGGTAACTCCTTGCAATGCCCTCAGAGGTATTTATGTTGGTGTAACCAGGTAATGATATACAGCTGAACACTAAAATTAGAATTGTCCAAGCCACTGTATTCCCCGTCACCATGCATGGATGTGAGAGCTGGACAGTGAAGAAAGCAAATAGGAAGAAAATTAATTAATTCGAGATGTGGTGCTGAGGATACCGTGGATGGCCAAAAAGACAAACAACTGGGTCCTAGAAAAAAAAAATCAAACCTGGAAGCCAAGATGACTAAATTAAATTTGTTGTACTTTGGCCACATCATGAGAAGGCACAAGTAATTAGAAAAGACAATGATGCTGGGGAAGGTGGAGGGCAGTAGAAAGAGAGGAAGACCACATGCCAGATGGATAGACTCAATCAGGGAGACCATGGGCCTGAGCCTACAGAACCTGAGCAGAAAGGTGGATGATAGAGGGCTTAAAGATGTCTCATTCATAGGGTTGCCATGAGTTGAGATCAACTCAAAGGCAGCTAACAACAAACAACAACCAGGTGTTATGGTAGCATAAGCAAACAACAGGATTCTGGCCAATGTGAACAGATTCTTTATGCCTTTAAAAATATTTAATCTGCCACTGGACCAACCATAAAGAACACCCAGAGGAGGCACATCTATGGAGTCAACAGCATAATTAAGCACCTACAAGTCCAGTGAAGCCTGATGCAGGCTAAAACAGAGGCATAGTTCTCCTTTCCCCTAATCTTGTGAAAGCTCTGCAAAGCACAACAATGCAGTGTGCTACTCACTTGAGAATATCCATTGTGAATGCACGATTAAGGTCCCTCCCGATGTAGCGGACACACTGCTCAACTGCCCGTGGGTTGCCCAGGAAGGGTGTGGTATGGAAGGTCCCACGCTGTATCTCGGAGGGGTTAGCCAGCCAATGCTTGGCCAGGTAAACTCCAGACATCTCATTCCCATGTGTGCCCCCACATACTGCCACACGTCTCAGAGCGGGAAGGTGCTGCAGGGCTGTCATGATTGTGTAGGTTTTAGACCCTGTTAGGAGAAAGAAGTCTAGGTGGGAGTTGGAAATGCTAGAAAGACAAATGTCCCCATCTGCAGCTCATCCAGGTAACCCAGTTTGCTCCCTTTCAGATTCCTACTCCTTTTCAGATTCCTATGTGGTATTACTTTTTGAAAAAGTCTGGCATCTGTTTTCCAGATTCAATGAGAGAATATCAGAGAGACAAAGAGTGAGTATTAAGAGCTCTGAGTTGGCTGATAATACATGCATCTTGGGATTACTACGGTATACTTTGGGAATCCAATGCAGAATCAGTAGATTTGCTGACAGTTGTCCTCAAGTTAATATCATTATTACACACATCACAAGAAGAGTTGCAGCCTCTACCTTTTTAAACATGACACTTGTAGTCATTGCTAAATATACAAAGAATTTTCAGCTTCAGGCACCAAAAATTCAGTTGTCTCTCTTGCTGAAGGAGATACAAAAAGCACTACTGAGATTGCTGTAAAGGGTCTAGCTATCTGTCTATAATGGAATTTTTGTCTGTCTGTCTGCTTAATTCCAATTATGATGAACCAGTTGCAGGCAACAGATTCCTCATTGTCCCTTGAAACAAACCCAGGATAGGACTATGACCCTTCTAGGTGAATATTCCACAGAAGCAGAGTTTAATCTCTAAGACACTGTACAAGTCTTCTTCCACCTTGCATCACCAAGTTAATTAAAAAAAAAAGTAGACCATAGCATCACTGGAACTTTAACATATCAGATCTTCCTGAATAAAACCAAATAGTTCAACTATTTTCTAATGCATACTTGATCCTATTGATATTCATAGAGAAAGAACTGATAGGAAAAATTAATAGTAGGTACAAGTTCCAGCAGCATCACTAGGGTTGGTGTCACCCACTATAGTAGCTCATGGTTACTTGACCTTCTCGCATACCACATAATACAGAAACCTTAGTAATGTTTTTTGTATTAATGTTACTTGTAAATTGTAATTCAGAAAGTTATGGCAGTAGTTGTGAGTTAAACAACTAGAAAAACTAACATTATACATTTAAATTACAATATCATAAGCACAGCTTAAATGTATTTACGTGTACATAGTTTAATGTGGTTAAAGTGAAAATTTGCCAAGATGTAATGCTTTTAAAGAACATTTTAAAATAGTAAAAAAATTTAAAAAACTGAAGTTTTTTATTTAATATTTTTATTTAATATTACACACACACACACACACACATTAAAAAATTCCAAAAAGCATACTTTGGTTTTGCCATTTTATAAAACGGACAGCATTTTACTACACCATTGTATTTCATGGGATTACTTAATTCCTTCCCTTCCTACTATTTGTCTGCTTAAAATCATACCTCACACCCAAACTGTTTTTCCACCCTTGAGGAAAAGATCTTTTATTCTGCAAGGAGAGGGTGTTTTTGAATGGGCAAAAACCTGGAAAGCAGTTAGAAAGCATGCCATTATACTCCAACACTCTTCTGTTCCTAGTTGCACCCTCCAAAACTGTCTCTTTTGCTCTTGTTAAAAAAATAACACAGAACCATGGGGGGGGGGTAACCTAATTGTATTTAATATGTACAGGGTAGCTAAAAATTATCTTCACAATCACAATTGTAATTTTTAGCTATCCTTTACATATTAAATACAATTGGATATCTTTCCCCCACAATGATGTGTTGTTTTTTAAACAAGAACAGAAAGACAGTTTTGCAGGTTGCAACTAGGAACTGATTTTCAATTGAAATTTGAATTGAAATTGTGAAGGTAATTTTCAGACACACTTTTGACCCTGAGAAAATGAGTAAGGAAGCAGGTTTCTCCCTTAGGTTGTTGTTTCATGTGCATTGTTTCCAGGCTTGTCCCAGCAAATGTCACCACTGCTCACAGGTGAAGAGTTCTGCATGAGTTCCAATGCAAGTAAAAACAGTCACGATAGCAAGACAGGTCTGGTGGCTCTTTTGGAAGCTGTTGGTTAACATAAAAGGGCAGATGAAAAGAAAAAGTGTGTGTGCGCACGCGAGTGCGCATCTTGTATGCCTTCAAATCATTTCCGACTTATGGTAACCCTAAGGCAAACCTATCACAGGGTTTTATTGGCAAGTTTCTTCAGACGGGATTTGCCATTGCTAATGCTATCCTCTCAGGCTGAGAGAGTGTGACTTGTCCAAGGTCATCTAGTGGGCTTTCATGGCTGAGAGGGGATTTGAACCATGTCTCCAGAGTCCTAGTCCAATGCTCAAACCACTAAACCATTCTGGCTCTCAAATAGTGGGGGATAACATGCTTTTAAAGTTTAGAAGAGTAAAAAAATGCATAGGACTAGAGCAAAGCAGTACTTCAAGTTCATGTCCTGTTGTCAAGGAAGAAATGGGAAAATGAGCAGGAACTCTTAAACCCAGGAGAGAATGTAGGTCTAGAAGGTGAATTTCTACTGATCAGGCCACTATTCATAAATTATCTCAAAGGGCAACTTTATCAGTTGTGGGTCCAACTGTTACAGCAGTCTTGTGACTAGGCTACTTTAAGTCAGAGGCAAAAAGCCATGGAAAGCAGGTCTGGGTCTGAATTTTACACAGTGCTCCAAACTAACCAGCCAATTATTTGGCTGCCATGTCTACGTAGCTCACACATACATACTTGAGCGTAGAGAGTCCATAGATGATGTGGAGATTAGGCATATCTGCTGCTAGACAGAGGGCACCTCCAAGGAGTTTGAGGGCAATCAAAGATAAGTGCTTAAAAGAGGGGCAGGAAATATCCATGCTTCCAAACAGAGAGAGGGCTCTTTGATTTGTTAAAGATTAGCATGAAGGAAAACAAAAAGAACCCTGCAAGTCAGAAGAAGCACTGAGGCTCTATGGTATCCAGTGACAATGCACAGCAATCAGGAACACTTACCACTCAGAACTCTGAATAGCTTTTCAAGGGGTCCAAAATGTTCTTAGATCAGGATGGCATCTGCTACCTTCATGCACTAGAGACACACACCTACAGAGTAAGGAATGTGGATGTTTAACCTTTACCTCTTGCCTGTATGAAACTTGGTGAATGATTTTCTTGTGGCTCCTGAGTGACCTATGGACCACTCTGTGCTGTCCCCAAACATTGCCATGTCTTCTTGGCTAGGATCCAATTGAGCTAAAATGGTTAAAGGAGAGGCTGTGGATAGCACTATACTGTACCTTGGTTTCCTTTGGAGAATGGGGCCATGCCAACGTTTAGAAAGTTACAGGCCTCCTGTACTTTTAACAACAACGCAGAAGATCAAATTTCATTGCTTATTATGCAACTGGGAAACAAGCAACACCTGCTGAAATTCCCTCTTCGATGCAACCAATTTTCTCCAGTTTTCACTCTGGCAGCCCTAGTAGACCCATTCATTCAATGGGATTTACTTATATCCTATTTACTATATACTCACTACTCAACAATTAACTGAGTAGGTCAACTGCCCAATCACACAACACTGTTATAGTGCTATATTCTACTTTAACTGCCGTGACAACATTCGGTAGAATTCTGACATTTGTAGTTCAGCAAGCCCCAAAAGCCCTCTTGCTTATAATTCTGAATGCCCTTCCCTAAACTCCAAATCCCAGGATTCCATCATGTGATGTTGCCATGGCTGTGGAATACATTGGACGTTTTCACACTGGGCTTAAGGCAGACGCAATCCTACCTCACTCCGGCCCCAGTCCGGATCCTTTGCAAAGTTTTCACACTTACGTCGCACAAGCCCCGCCCCATCCAGTGCCATCCCCAGTGCAATCCTGCATCATTCCGGGTCCTTTCTCCGAGTGTTCACACTTACGTCGCAGCAAGCCCCGCCCCACCCCGCCCCATCCAGTGCCATCCCCATCCTTTGCAATTCCTTTTTCAAAAAGGAATTGAGTTGCCGCGGCCAGAAGCAATCAAGAACCATTCCAGAATGATGCTGCTTTCACCGGTCTGAAGCTACAGGATCCATTCCGGAATGATTCTTGATTGCTTCCAGGCGGCTTTGAGACCCCTAGTGTGAAAACGTCCAGTGTTATAACAGTGTAGTGTGATAGGGCCCCTAGTGTAGTTGGGACTTAACAATAGGATGCCAGCCCAGGGTTCAGACCAGATATGATGAATCCTGTGAAATAATCTTCCTTCTGCTCGTGAGGTATAAAGGAAATGCATTGGAGGAGAGCATGCACAAGAATGTGTTTTTGCCATTTCATTTTGTATATACAGTTGGGTCCTTCAAATTTGCAACTTTGACTTTTGAGGATTTAATTATTCGTAGATTTGATTAATATGTCCTCTCTAGGAATCTCTAGGTCCTCCACTGTGACTTTGCCAGATGTTGACCATACAGTCACACTGGTGGACTGAGAGATTCCTAGAGAAAACACAAGGTCCTCCAGTGCAATTCTGTGGTCAACTTCTGCCAGATGTTGGCCATAGATTTGTGATGGAGGACCTAGCAATTCTAGAGAGGTGTTCTCTCAAGTAAAAAAAAAAGAGTTGTTTTTTATTTGAAGTTTTTTCATGATCATGGTGTCTCCCCTGCCAGGTAAGTATAGAGAGCATCTTAAATAATGATCATTAAAATTTCTATGAAACTTAATTTTGTCATATAGTAGATATCCATGCCAAGCGTACACATTGTCAAATCCCTCCAATTTCAAATTCCTTTCATTTTTTCACTTTCACAGGGATCCTATACCCCTTATCTCAGCTAATGTGGAGGGCCCACTGTATTTGAAAAATACATCAGAGGAGGCTTCTTTTCACATTAGTGATTTCCAGATATCTTGTCTGCTGGCCTCCTGCTCCCCGCTGTTCATGCTTTCCCTCACTCTTGGTGAAAGCAACAGCTCCCATCCCCAGATCTGCTATGAGGGCATCTTTCTTGGCTGCCCATTTATCTCCCTCTGTCACCAGCGGTGGCAGCTCTAATAACTCCTAGGCAGGTATTGAGCGGCAAGATGAGGAGGTGTGAGAAAGCACAAGGCGCATCTGTCAATGGCTTGGCAGGAGGAAGAAGATGGATGGAGGTGGGGAAGAAAAGGCCATACCCCAGAGCCTGAGGGCTAAGCATGGAGAAGGGGAAAGGAAGCCTGTTTTGAATATGAGAGACACCAGTACACATAGATCTTTTCAGCGTAAACTCATTTATTAAAATCTCCTGGAACTCAGATCACCATCCAACTTTAAGGAAAGACAACTACTTAAGTAAAATAGACCTAGGATTGCCTTCCACTTTTCTCTTAGGCAGCCAGCATTGAGGTATCTGGGCCTGCCTGTTAAAGCACCAGTACACAGCAAGATAGAGGACTCCCATACGAGTGTATTGGCCTCCTTCTCTTAGACATGAACTTCTTCATCTGGGTTGGGTTACCAGAGGGGAAACTAAAGAAAGTTCCTGTATACCTTTAAGAGTTGTATAGGAAAGAGAATTTCAGCAAGTGGTGGTTATTACAACAAGCCAAACACACTGAAATTCCCTCTTTTGCACAGCTACTACAGGTGCAAGAACTTTGTCCAGTTTTCCATATGGCAACCCTATGGGATAATTTATTTCACATATGCAAATCATCGCTTGAATTTATGTGCATGTGCAGGCTCCAGATTTGGGGTGGTGGGGGAGACGTTTGGACAAGCATTCTTCCCTGAGTGAGACCCTTTCCCCATCACAGCCACCCATTTAGTTGCCTTCTTTCACAAGGCATCATCATTTCTTCGGCAAGATAATTGAAATCTACTACTTCTGCTTCTCTTTGCTGTCACCACTATGGAAAATAAACATTTTGACTATAACACCCAGAGTCCCCAGTCACTATGCCTGCTAGGAATTTTGGGGTATATAGTCTCACAAATTACTGTCTGAAGCTCTGGAGAAGGAAGGCATCAATATGAAAAAGAGGAGATCCAGGAAGCTCAGGCAACCCTTGTACATGTGGATGCCATCCTGGAGAATGTATGAGTATGGCTCATGGATGTATTACTATAGACATCTATATCTTCCAAGTTACCATTTTGCTTCTGGCTTTGTCTTCTCCACAATTAGTATTTCACAATTAGGATTTGGAGCATCTTGTTTGGGAAGGGGGTTGGTGGGGGAAGAGAAGTAAATGATGGTTCCTACATCTACATCAAGAAAATTGGCCTTGTCATGTCCCTTGTATGAATTTAATTTCACAACAAAATGTTTGCATTTGGGGAGATGAAATGGTGCAAGAATAAAGCTTCAAAGAAGATTTAATTTGTTGAATCTAAATGTGCATTTTCTTTTTACAGAATTTTCAACAGTTTAGTGGGATACATGTCATCATGTTGGGTTGCCACACTGAAAACTGGAGAGGGCTATTATATCTTTAGTGGTTGTGCGGAAAAGGGCATTTCAGCAGATGTTACTTGTTAGGAAAAAGAATTTTCTTGTTTCCTGTTACAATGCTTAAAAAGTAACTAAATTGGTTACTTTCTATTTTTCATTACTTTCCTGGTACTTTAAAATAATTGTTAAGAACAGTAAGTAAAATGTATAAAATTTGAAAAATTCCACTCATAATTTCTTTAAAGTGCCCTTGAGCAGTAAAGGGAGGAAAGGTAGAAAGTGTTGGTCCTGCTTAATAGCATCATTTCCACTTTTTAGTTTTAAATAGGAAATTATTCCATAATGATATAAACTGGCTTATCTGAGCCGACTTAAAATTAGAAGTGGGAGGCATCCTGATATTATCAGACACATTTAGCCACCAAAATTGCCACCCGCGTGCAGCCCAGCTCCATCTCTGCTCAAAGGGACGCTCCTCATGCCTCTTTTCGAAGCTGGGAGTTTTCTAGCTTGAAAAAATGGCCTCCACAGTGCCCCTCTGAGCAGCGATGGAGCCAGCCTGCACCCGGGTGGCAATTTCGGTGGCTAAATATGTCTGATAATATCAGGATGCCGCCCGCTTCTAATTTTAAGGCGGCTCAGGTAAGCTGGTTTATATCATTATGCAATAATCTTCAATGTAACTTTCTTACACCTTTATTATTGGTAATTGGCCGCACACTACTATGTTTGTAGTAACTCATTACTTCCATGTTCTTTTCTGATAATGGACTTGGAAAAGAGGCAGGCTGTGGGTTTGATGAATAGCAGTAAGTTATTCATGGAGAAGAAGGGATTTTTAGGGGCATCTCACCAAGTCATTAAAACTACCATGGATAAGAAAAAACTGCACCTGCCAAAATCCCTTCTTCTATGCCACATATAAAAAGTCTTCAGTGCTGACATCTGTTAT